GAAGTTGATTAGATATGGGAAGAAATACAAATTAAAGATGTATCCTCGTTTTCAACCTAAACTTTCTGCTGCTAAATCAGTTGCTATTGGTGGAAAGTCTATCTCACCCTGGATTGATGCAGCTTATTTTACCTATGGTGCCTCTCCTGCTTCCAGTATGAATGGGATTATTTACACTATTAAAGGATCTCCTAATACCTTTTTTGAAGGCTTTTATTCCATTGGACTATCATGGAGAGGTCGTAGAGATGGACAGATATACACAGTTGATAAGGATTTATATTCCTCAGCTCCTTGTGATGATTTTGAGGATTTAGGAATGGATGGAGTAGGGTCCAGCCTGTAGACCGAGGGGCCACACCACGAGCCGGAGTCCCGGAGGGCGGAGGCGATCTGTGTTAGGGTCCAGCTGCCATGGAGGATGTTATAGTTCTTTCCCGAGTTTTAGGGTCCATTTGCCGTTATATTGATTAATTAAATTTAAGAGGCTTGAACATTTATATTATTTATTAACAATAAATTACATTAGCAGATTATCATATGGTATTCTTCTTCTTTTTTAACCAATTGGAAATTCCAGTATCTGTCCTTCGACATCTTGGTTTGATCTGGCATGAAATTTGCCATACAGATAACTTTCGGGCTTGCAAAATGCTTGGTTCGGCTATCATACTTTGCGCTGAATAGGTAGCCATCCTTTAAGTTTTCCAGTATTGTGTAGTTTACGCACTGTTCATCATCCCTTGTGTAGTTGAAACAGCATATTGGTTCTGGTATAATAGTAATACTAGATATACGCGACGCCAAAAAAGGTCGAAGACGTTAAAATGGCTCCAAATGCCAAAAAACACTGTGAAAAATGTAATGTTGATGTGGTAAAGTCGCAATGGGCAAGGCATGAGAAGACTAAGAAGCATAAAGAAGGAAAAACGAAGAGAAATTGAGATAACTAGTTTTGACTAAATCGGCAAGAATATTGTTAATCATGTTAGCAGTTTCTTTGAAAATTGGTTTCGGTAAAATGGCATAATGTTTAGGATTATTCAGTTGATTCTCTGCTTCTGAAACGTAATCCTCCCTATTCAGAATGACACAACATGAACCTTTGTCACTCTTTTTAATAACAATGCTATCGGCTTTCTTAAGTAAGTTTAACGCTTCACGTTCCACTCGTGTG